GGGGGGGAGTATTTGGAGTGTTATAAGAACTGAAGTAGATGGTGAGTTTCTGGTGTTGTGGGGTTGCTGTAGGGGTATTGTTGAGTACTAATTACTAATTGGTGTTGATAGATCTGCTACATGTATGACTTTTCAGTTAATGGGGGTGGAATGGAAAAGAAATGTGGAGGCACTTGAGTGTTGTTGTATACTTAAGAATATCGTCTTTTCTCATTTTGGAAAGACATCTAAATCAAACCCCCAATCAACATTTGACAAGAAAATAAATGATTTTATCTCGATGATACATATGAAGCCCAGGGTCACAAACCCTAAGACACATACATACATCACGGAATGAATTCTAATGCTCTTTTCCCGGACCCTTCGCCAATCCAAGACACTCAGCCATATAAAAGAAAATATCAACCGAATTGTACACCCCCCCAAACAACTCCTGACACGGCCCCTGCGCAAACACAGGCACATCCGTCAACGAGTGCACACCCTGGTCACTATCCACCGGCAACGTCCCGTTCACAAGGAATCCAGTAACTGCATCCTTATAGTTAGCCACGGGGCCATTCGCAGGAGTGCGCGGGCCTTCTGCGTGAACTTGGTAGTTCTCACGGTGATCCGGGAATGCCACAACGCCAGCGTGCAGGGAGTATCGCGGATCCCAACGCGAGGGGAAATGTACACCTTCGGAGTAGCGCAGGTTGCTTCCGCCATTACCCATGGTATACTCTGAGAGACCTGAGTTTTCGTAGTACCCGACTGCGCGGCGCTTGGAGCGGTCGTCTTTCTGGGCGTTGAGATACTCTGTGTCGACGGAGCCAGTGACGTCGAAGCCGTGGCCGTGGTCTGCGGTTACGAGGATCAAAGTATCTTCGAGTTCGCCGAGGGCGTCTAGTTTTTCGATTGTTGCGCGGACGGTATCGTCGAGTTCGAGCAGTTCGCCGAGCGAGCGGTCGTAGTCTAGCGAGTGCATCTGCTTGTCGATACTCGCTGCCTCGGACATGAGAAACCAGCCGTCTTTCTCGTGGCGCGCGTTCAGGACATCGATGGCTTTTAGGGTCATGTCCTTCAGGCCTGGGAGATCCTTTGCATCGCGACCAGAGCCGTCGGGGTAGTTACTCTGGTTGAGCAGGTTGGACTGGTAGACGTTGCGGTCGAGCCATGTTGCCAGGTTTGAGGTCTGGAAGACGCCAAGAGCTCTGGTGTCGTTTGGGGCAGAGTGTAGGGCTGTGTTGTTCCAGAGGACGTTGTAGCCCTGCTCTGCGAATAGATTGTAGTAGTCGCGCGAGGCGTCCTGGCTTTCGAGGAAGTTCTCGGCTCCAGCACCGAAGAGGACGTCTGGTCCGCCCCATTTTGTCCAGTCATACTCGGTTAAGCCCTCGTAGAATGCATTGATGACGTGATCGTACTCGCTTCGGTCTGCAGTGTGAGCAGTCAAACCAGCTGGGGTGGCATCCGCGAGAAACGCCGTGGAGACAATACCAACACCAGCATCGGGATACCGACGACGGAAGATCTCCACGATGTTTTCGAACTTGGGGTCATCCGTGGCATCCTCGGACGAGTCGACATACACGCCCAATGCATTGACAGTTGTCTTGTGTCCAGTGTACAGCGCCGTAGCTGAGTTGGCGCTATCCGTAATGAACGAGTCCATCGAATGGGTCATCTGGTGGCCCAGAACCGGGAACTTGTCCATCGCCATCTTGGTCATGTACTTGCCGTTGATGCTGCGGTGGGAAATCAGACGAGCTGCAGTGATCATGTTGGTGGTCATGCCGTCGCCGATAAACAAGATGACGTTCTTTGCACGTCGCTTGGTGGGAAGGTCGCGGACTGTCCAGGTGGCTGTTGTTGTTTGGTCTCCATAGTATGTCAGGGTCACTTCGTACTCGCCAGGCTCGTTGAGTGCAATTCTGCGGTATGCCTTGGAAGTCACGTTGACGAGGGAAGCCTTTCCTGCATCTTCTGCGAACAGGTCTATATACCATTAGTACTGAGCCTTCAAGGTATTAGACCAGATAGATTAAACTCACCTTCATACCACGAAAAGTCCCATCGTTCCAGCTCAGGCTCCTCAACATCAAAGTACTCCATCGCTGCCTTAGACTGCTCACCCTTTTTGGCAATGGTGAACTTAAAGTCCGGATCCGGCTCGCCCTTTCGAGCCTCCGAGCCATTAACAGGCGAATGCACCTCCAGTCGAATGTCAAAGTACTGCCCGGCCAGGAAATCCGCCTGGTCCGGAGGAAAGACACACCCCAATGTAGGACAACCACCCAAGCGCTGGAAGGTCTGCGCTAGAACAGTAGCCGGCGCAAAAAGCGCAACACCTGAGATCCAGAGAATCCTCATCACGATGGATTGATCAGACTGGCTGGTGGATGAACTCCTCAATCAGGAGGAGTAGTACTCCGGGACCTCCGTCGCCTTTTTATCATTGCTTTAAGCACTGCCAAGGAGCTGAAATTAGTAGAATTTCCAGTCTAGGCACATTCCATCAAAGGAATGGAAATTGCTATCTATACACTGCCATTTGCAAGGAAGCGAATTGACGATGGTTTCGTCCACCACGTGCTGGAGCCAAGAGCCATGGCGGAGGGTGCCAAGGCAGATGTCATCAAGTCGTATTTCAGCGTCGCAGTGGTTTATGTCTCGATTAAGGGGAAATTTCGGTTAATTGCGTTTATCGCGCACTTCTAGCCGAATCATACTAATGCTCTGTTGAATGTTGGTTAGGGCTTCATTGGGGATTTATCTTTCCCGCTGTGGAAAGCATCTATGGAGCCATAATATGAATTGCTGACATCGAAACGCGCCAGTTTGTTTGTACTAGTCACGTGCTGGCTTTGTAGGGTGATATCCCCTCACTTACTACCATCAAAATCATTATCATACTTACCATAATATTTAGCGGTTATCATTCTCCAGACTACGTTCACTTATTCTCTCGCAGTTGAGATAAATGGCTCTTCAAAACCTCCCCAACGAACTGCTCTTCCTGATTGCATCTAATCTGAAAACAGAAGCAGACATCAACTCCTTATCTCAAGTCAACCATGGCGTCCATACCACTATAGACCCCTATCTTTATGAGCAGAACGTCGAAACTCCAACAGCTCAGCCTTGATATATGCAGCTCGCACTGGACACCTTTTAACCACATGCAAAGCCCTCCAAGCTGGAGCAGAATTCAACGACAAAAAGTTATGCTTATTATGATGTTTGCGCAATCTCTGAAGCAGCGCGAAATGGATTACTAGAGGCTCAAACTTTTACTAGACCACACCGCTTCAACGTCATCGGATTTCACACTCTCTGCCATCAGACAAACATATTCGGGATGGACACCGTTGCTTTTGGCCGCTACGTATGGACATGCAGAGGTTGCACGCCTCTTGCTTGACAACGGCATGGACCCTAATGCCTCTGATTCGAGTTTCAGACCGCCCCTTTACATGGCCTGTCTGGAAGGACATGCTGCTGTTGTTAACGTTCTACTTGAAAACCCCAACACACGTGTCAATCCATTGGATAAATCAGACTACATCCCTTTTTACGAAGCAGTATTTAGGGGGAATGTTGGGATTGCGGCAGCACTGCTGGCCCATGGAGCGCATGTCAGTCCGACGGAGGAAGAGGGATGGACACCTCTTCACAGTGTCATGATTAGGAAAAATATCGAGATGCTGAGATTCTTCGATGGAAGACAGGATGTAGACCTGCCGTTTAGGGATAAGGCTCCATTACAATAAGCAGTGCAGTTCGACTCTAAGGACATGGTGAATCCGGAATGTATTCGTAGAAAGCGTCTATCCCGAATGCATGATCTTAACCTCTTGCGGTTGCCTAGATAGCCACGTGAATATTACGAGTCTCACTTACTCGAGATCAACTTTTCTTCATCAAATTCATCAAAATATCAAGTGTTCAGACATCCCCCAGCGTGGACGGGGCCCACATATATTGACATAATGGCTCTGTAGAATCTCCCAATTGAAATGCTCCTCTTGATCGCGTCTCATCTGGAAACAGAGATAGACATCAACTCCTTGTCCCAAGCTAACCGTCGCCTCCATAACACCCTAGATTCACATCTCTACAAGCAGAATGCCAAGAAATCCAATGGTTCGGCCTTGAGCTATGCAGCGCTTTATGGGAAGCCCTCAACCGCGTGCAAGGCTCTCGACGCCGGAGCAGACATCAGCAACATTGACAGCTTCGTCAACAATGAAAACAAGAAAAGAAACCATGAGAATGATATCCATATTTTAATCAACGATGCAGCAACTAGAGATATTCAATTTGTTCCTAGAGTTCGCTGCTTCAGCTTTGCCAGATTTTTGATATCCATGCTGTCAAAAGCAAATCCTCTGCATGGACATTGTTGTTTAATGCTACTTATGCAGGCTGCGCGGAAATTGTCCGTGTACTGCTTGAAATGGGGCTCGATCCCAATGCCAGAGATCAGCCTCAGAGAATACCACTTCATGTCGCCTGTATGTACGGACGTGCCGCTGTTGTTGATGCCCTCCTTGCAAATCCAGACACAGATGTCAATGCACAGAATGATTTAGGGGAAACACCTCTTGTCCAGGTAGCAAGATCCAGGGGCTATGTTGAGATTGTGGAAAAGCTCATGGCCCATGGAGCTCATGCTGGCGTGAAGAAAGGAGAACTGACACCTCTACATTATGCCATCATGCACCGAAAACCGGGAGCTGGTGAGATTACTAGTAGGGAGACAGGAGGTGAATCCAAATGCGCTGTATGGGCAAGGCACTGCATTGCAATGGGCAATTGAATGTGATTGCGAGGACATGGTGGAATTGTTGTTGAGTGACAAGCAGACTAATCCAGATTTTTACCTTTTCGGAGAATGGCGAAACACTCTTACTCCAAACACTGATTAAGGGAAATGACAAAATGGCCAAGGTTTTTCTCGATGCCGAGGCAAATCCCAATATCGCATCTCGAACGTGGCTGACACCAGCTATGTTACTAGAGGCCCCGAGTAAGGAAGCTCGGCAGGGATTAGTGCAGCAGTATCATTTGTCTGAAGATTGATGATATAACAATCCTGTCTTTAATACCCAAACGGTTCTCCGACTTTCAAAGTACCAAAGCAAGCATGTATACTATTCCTAAGAACTGGTATTACTAGCAAGTGACTCATTAGCGGACACCATAAATGGAATTTAGATCCTTGTAGCTATCAAGCCTCATCCCTGCACAGCCGTCGTGATGTAACCAACCATCGAAGCCACGTCCGTCTATATTCATAGTACTATAACGCCAGCTGTATGGTCGGGCTAGTTGTTGTAGCAAGTGCTCCTAGGCGCCTACCTACTACAGTATTCTGAAGTATAAGCACAGCCTGTTTTCTCTATCATCTCGCTGAGACAACTACACGACCCCCAGTCATCCTCATTGTTACGAATATCAGCAACAATGTAACTCCTCTCCCTACCCATGGAGATCATACCTCTTATTCGCCAGAACCTAGATCTCGCAGGCCTCAACGTCTTGTGTCAAACATGCCGGTTTTTCCACACCCTCATCAATCTATACCTCTATCCACACATCGCTCAAAACTTGCCCCTTCAAAACCTATACCGTGTAATCGAAGGAGGCAAGACAGATGCTTTCCGCAAACTCATGGATGTGGGCCTGGACCTCGACAAGGCTCGTAGGGCTGCTATCGTTATCAGAGACACGACCTGGCTAGTGAGAATGGCCTCAAGGAAAGGACAGCTAGAAATTGTGCGGATGCTGGTCGAGGAATACAGAATGCCCGTTGAACATTACACAGTGCTCACTGGAATGGCCGGACTTCCAGATCACCGGGTAGGTGACTTTTACAAATCACCGCTAATGGCGGCCATTGTGAATGGCCATCGGGAGGTGGCGAGATACTTGATTGCTCACGGGGCTGAACCAGACGCGGAAATGGACGCCGACAGGCAGGCGGGGTTAAGCATCTGCGCTAGCAGGGGTTTGCTAGATGCGATGAAGTTTATGGTTGAAGAACTCGGGTGTGAAGTGAATAGGCAGGATCTAGATTATTGCACTGCATTGTGGTATGCGGCAGATAGAGGATATTTGGAAGTGGTGAAATACCTAGTCAAAGCGGGTGCAGATCCAACCATAAAGGACATGGCAGGGTCCGATCAGTTGTGCTGCTTCAAGCGGTCATGATGATGTGTTTCAGTTCTTGACGGAGGAATCTGTTTGTCCAGCCTCATTTCGTGGACATAACGATGAATAGAGAAGATGGCAGGTTGCTAGGTCTCCCCATTTGATAGATAGCCCATAATTCATATGCGTTTTAGCCCTAGTTCTTTCATTACTAGACTCCTAAAGTATTTTTGAGATACAAATACAGGTAACCTGCTAAGGCATTCCGAAAATCCCAAGTCTAAAGGCCCAGCTTTGTAAGTCCCACTATCGACCTAGGACGACGCTCGCCCGTGTCGCTAACAACCGAACGACTCCGCTGGCCTTCGCAGAAGGGGAGAGGGTCCCTATGCTACTCCTGGAACAGCGCGCTCCTTCCCTCCTCTATCATGAAGTGTTTTGGGGTATCTGTTTATAGAGCTTTTTGAGATTGCGTTATCGATTTGGTGTTCATGCGGAAGCGGAAGCGGCAGCGGCTTGTTGCTGGATGTTGGTTTGGAATTGGATGATCTGGGTGATCGTGTAAGCATGTGTATACTCACGAGAGGGATATTCCAGCTCAAGTATGTACCTCTGTCCGTTTCTTATCGGCCTTCTCTTCGGTTTCCTGGATTTGTCTTTCGATCCGTTTGCTGAGAACATCGTCAGTGATTTTCGAAATAACAGCTTTTGACACGCATACATTTCCTTCTCGATAAACTCCAGACGGCCATTGACGGCCATGACAGCCTCGGTTTTATCCTGCTTCAACAAAACCGGCCCGACGAGCTTGTAGATGTTGGATTCTTCGTTCAGCGAGGCGAATTCATCCTGAACACCCTGGTTTTCCTGCTCCTGCGACTCGAGTTTCTGACGGGCGTCGACATATCCTTCGAGTTCTGGAAAAGTTTTTTTTTTGTGTTAGCGACGTGTGAGATCTTGTGCGATTGCGGTGATGTGATATGCTGCGTGTCATGGGGATGGAGGGGCAGCGCAGTTGCACATACCGGTTTGCAGCTTCTGGAATTCCTCCGAGAGGCCCTGGAGCTGTTTTTGTACTTCGGCCATGATGTCTCTATCGAATCGGGGATTATGCGCGAGTCAAGATAGGATCGTGGATGAAGAATGGACGATGTCGGAGTCGAAGAGGCCCGTTGGCGGGGAGAACCAGATGGGCGGCAGAACCTCCGGACGGTGTAAACACTTCATCTTTCATTCAATCCGGACCCCGCAAAAACCGCACACTTCTTGCTCGCTTTGACTCTTCAGATTAATATCTTCTTTGAGACGGCTTTTGTTCGCACTTGAAGACTCCGGTCTGGTTATTCGTCTCATATTACACACCTCCAAGCGGCAAAGCGGGCACGATCTCCTACCTACCCTTGCCTCTCGCCTCTCTCCACCCCTCCCTCCTCCTCGTACCTGAACAGCGAAACGATCGAGATATATACGAGTCCTTCATCCACCATGAGCAATACCGATTTCCTTGGGCGGGCAATCGACACTGTCAAGAAGGCCATCGAGAATGACAATGAGGGCGAGTACGAGAAAGCTTATCAAACCTACTACTCCGCACTGGAGCTGTTCATGCTCGCCTTGAAATGGGAGAAAAACCCAAAGTCCAAGGAGATGATCCGCGCAAAAACAGGCGAGTATATGGATCGTGCAGAGAAACTCAAGAATCACCTGGCTCAATCGGACGGGCAACAAAAACCGAGTGCTGTGGGCGCGAATGGGAAAGTGGCGCAAGGAAGTGGGAAGGGCGGGTATGTTTTGCGCTTCTGTCCTTTATCCTTCGAATTGTGATTTGTGCTAACTTGTCGCTTTCTTTTTGTAGGGAAAAAGATGACGATAACGAAGACGCCGATTCCAAGAAGCTACGGTCAGCGCTGGCCGGTGCCATTTTGACGGACAAGCCCAATGTACAGTGGGAGGATGTTGCAGGTCTCGAGAGTGCAAAGGAGGCCCTGAAGGAGGCTGTCATTTTGCCCATCAAGTTCCCGCATCTGTTTACTGGAAAGCGACAACCATGGAAGGGTATCCTGCTCTACGGACCTCCAGGTACCGGAAAGTCGTATCTCGCCAAAGCCGTCGCGACGGAAGCAAACAGTACCTTCTTCAGTGTCAGCAGCAGTGACCTGGTATCAAAGTGGATGGGTGAAAGTGAACGGTTAGTCCTCGGCTGCTTGGTTCTAGTTAGAGAGAATTTGCGACAACTGACGCCTCTGCAGACTTGTGAAGCAGCTCTTCAACATGGCTCGGGAGAACAAACCGGCTATTATTTTCATTGACGAAGTTGATGCGCTTTGCGGACCCCGTGGCGAGGGAGAATCAGAGGCTTCTCGCCGTATCAAGACCGAATTACTGGTCCAGATGGACGGTGTGGGCAAAGACTCCAAGGGTGTCCTAATTCTGGGCGCAACGAATATTCCGTGGCAGCTTGATGCGGCCATTCGTCGCAGATTCCAAAGAAGAGTACACATCAGTCTTCCTGATCTTAATGCACGGATGAAGATGTTCGCGTTAGCTGTCGGCTCAACGCCATGCGAAATGACGCAGGCGGATTATAAGACGCTGGCTGAGATGAGTGAGGGCTATTCCGGCAGCGATATCAGTATCGCTGTGCAGGATGCTTTAATGCAACCTATTCGCAAGATCCAAACTGCAACGCACTACAAGAAGGTTCGTGGCTTCTTCGTGCATACTGAAACAGAACTAACCAAATACAGGTCATCCTCGATGGCGCAGAGAAGGTCACTCCATGCTCACCTGGAGACCAAGGTGCAACGGAGATGTCCTGGGTCAATGTCGAAGCGGACCAACTCCTCGAACCCACACTTATACTCAAGGACTTTGTCAAGTCTGTCCGCAGCTCCAGACCAACAATCAGTTATGAAGACCTCAAGAGGAACGCGGAATGGACCGAGGAATTCGGTAGTGAAGGAGCATGACGAATTACATTCCCTACGCCTCTTGTGGTTGTTATATGGCCTCGAGTTGATGAATTGCATGATTATTGATATCACTGATTTTTTAGACGTCTTTTCTTCCCCTCTGTCCCTCGTTTTCCACTTGAAAGCGAATGAACGACCGTAACGGGCTACGTCCATGTTTATTTTATTTTTTTTTTTTGTTTTTGTTCGAGTGAGCTTGGTGTTCAGAAGCGGTATATCCGATTGGCACGGCGAAGGCGTTGCAATTTTCATATTCTCTTTTGGTTTCTCTTTTATTTTGACTATCGATCTCGCAAATACTGGAATGCATATTTTTGCGGGTTTAAACTAAGAATAATTACCCTCCATTCAGTAACACCACGTAGACATTTGAGGTGATCCACTTCCCCAGTATCAACACTCATCCTGCACTCTCATTGTTAATCCATCATCCAATGGGTATTTATTGACGTTCTCCCATTTCTGAGATACTCCGTATCGACTTCGGCTTTATAACCTAGGGTTTGTGTAACTTGAAAAAGGCTCTGAGCAATCCATCTATATCTCGATAAATTGTAGGTTAAGCAGACAAGCAGACAGGCAGACAAGCAGACAAGCAAATATAATAGCAGATATTGAGCAAAATATGCCAGATATTCTTAATCCTCCCAGATAGGCTTCCGAAAACGGCCGTGAACTCGCCTAAATTTACCAAACCCCTTTAAACAATAATCCAATTCATTAGAAATATATGGACACGCATCGAATAGATGGCATGACTCGAAAAATACAATGAAACCACAATATTTTGAATATGTTGAGGTTGCTAATGCCCGTTCACCCTGAAAGTCACGTTCGTAGCGTTTTAGGAATCGAAGCTCAAACCAGAGCACTAAAGGATCCTGGCCTGGCATAAAAAAGTGTCCACTGTTAACTGCCGTACCCATGTGGTCCAGTCGGAGAAACCTGCCGTCTGTTTTGAGCATAATGTGTGTTAACGTAGGGTTCTCTTTATCCAAGCTCCATTTCTCAATAACAGCCATGTGAGATGTAGGAGGTTGATGAGTGAGCATACATCTCCAGCTGGTTTTACTTCGTGTGTACATTCATTCTCTCTCTTCATCAATGAAAGGGGGGGTGGCTGGTATTGGTTATAAGAATGATGGCGCCTCTGGCTGCGGAGCTGCTTGCGGTTGTGGTCCCACTTGTGCTGTTCTTTGGATGGCTTCATGAACAGAGCAGCCTGGAGGGCATCGGAATTCTGGATTAATGTATGCCATCGAAGGCAAACTCGTTGGGCAGAGGTTAAAAGAGTGCAAATATCAAGTTGCAGGAGGATTTCTTCGAGTATATGCGGTATGCAGATGATCTTGTATGTGGCTTCGGTCATAGATGAGCCTGCCCAAAAAGGCATGATCGCCGCAGATCTGATATACTGTATAGGATTGCAGCTCTGACTCCGATTCTTGGGTTGGATTCCATCTTGCTCGTGCTGCAGCTGTTGAAGTAATGCTTGCATTATCTCTTTTTTTTGGTCTTCTCGTTTTCGTCTGCTTCCGTCAAGATGCGTCGAAAGGTTATGGTCGAGGTCGCCATGGGCCTCCTAAGGACCACCTTACACCACGCAGAGCCAGATTTTAGAAAGAAGACAATCAAATATCTTGACGGCCTTAAGCAGAAGACTAAAGGGAAGCTACCCACGCTTGCTGTTCACGACTTGAGCGTCGACGACGTTGAAAAAAAAATATTCAGGATCAAGGTGAATTGGAACAATGCCTACAAATGGGAGCGCGAACTGAAGGGCTGCGAGGGGCTTGGTGTGCATGACAGCCTAATTAAGTGCTCGATTCCCGATTGACTCAACTCAAGAAGCAACATACGCTCAATGGCTGCGCGGATTACACGCTTTTATATGGCGCCCCCCCCCAAGACATTGAGAGCAATATGTGTGTGGTGGAGGCAAGAAAGCGGTGGGACTTCGGAAATGGAATGGCTCAAATCCTGGCCTACATGGGTAAGTAATGTCTCGAGTCCTTTGACCGAGTTCTGATTGTCATGTAGCCATGGTCGCTTCGAGCAGGGCGAAAGACTGCCGCCAGAACCATACAATGTATGAAATTCTATGGGATGGGTGAATTTTTCTTTTTCTTTTTTCTTTTTTCTTTTCCCGATTGAACCAAAGCAAAAGGGTGATTAAGTAGAAATAATCTACTTCATTGTCCAGATCGCTAATCTCTTGGTAGTGGACCTGGACGACTATGCATTGGGAAATAAGTAGAGAGCAATCCGGCTCATCGCGCAGATCTTTATAGGGGCCTCGCAGTTCTATCCTCCATCAAGCATTGATACACAGCGCACGACGTCAACGGATTCCAGTTTGAAGATGTCCTAAGTGAACTCGCACGAAGACGAGGACATGCCGGATCCCTAAACGGCATCCCTTCACCACATCGAACTTCTGGAAATGAGACTCATCGCGTCTGTTATGCTCTCTCCGTTCTTTGGCAGCTACTACGGCAATTACCAACGGTGTTGCCATCGCGATTTCGTTCGGGTTGTCTTCGTCCATCTGGACAACTACTCCTTATTTCCCTATCGATAAAGGCCATCCGTAATGCTTATTACCTCCCATTTACCGCTACCAGTTGGCGTCTTGAATTGTTTTGTCCGTCGTTATTCTACTTACTGTGCGCCTACTCTTATTGCCAGATGCAAGTTGACATTATCAGTGGCTGACAAATAAAAACAGTGTGATTCTCATTTTGTGCGCTTATTTTCAAATCGATAAAACCGAGAATGCTGCGTGTGTGGAGGCTCAAAGGAGTGAGCAACCTTACTTAGATATCATTAACTCGCTGGATTATTTCTCAACGCCATCCAGCATGCGTTATGAAGCTGTGTGCACCTTGTGCTACTGGAGGTGGTCTCATAACTCTACATCCAAGATTGTATCGATTATCATAGTCTACTGATAGCATTGCCTGTATTATCATTCTGCTTAGTCGGCTTTTGCTGCAGTTTTTATAGCATTGTTTACATGTGTGGGGGTTTCAACTTCGCTCAGTCTCATTTGAATGAGACCTGTTATGAAGATTGTAGTATTGTTTCCCTGGATTATCGCATATGGAAAAGGAATCTCCACAAAACCTGGGAGGGAAGAAGTAAAAAGGTTGGTAACTGACATGTACAAGTGTACTAGGGGAACCACATCAATTAAGAATAAGAAGGGGAAAGTGGTTCAAACAAGAAGAAAAAGACCAGAGGAACTGAAAGAGTCCATTAAACATCGAGTGACCGGTTCGCCATGCCCTTCTCTTACTCCGTTATCCATTTATAAGAGCTGCCTCTTTTATTGAGCACCTCATGCCAACCATTCAAAAGATATACACGGGACTCGACCGCAACGTGTCCGAATAGGGCTGCATCCAGTTAGCATATTTTGCATCTATAAGAAATATATCGTGTCTGAGGCCTCCAGGGGAAGCAGAAACCAGTCTGACCAAGTCTTCGGAGGCTTCATGACCTAGATTAGTTTCCAAGAGGGGACTTTACTACTAATAATGATACCGATTATATGCCGCTATCAAACGCGGGCATGTGTATTCTATACGCTGGACTACCTGGTTGTACTTTTAATGAGTGATTGTAACCTTCAATCCTCGAATTCTGTTGGCCAACAACCTCTCAGTCGTGAATTAGGCTGAGACGATCTTTTACATCCAAAGATCCGGGGATGATGGTTCTCTGAGCCCAATTCAAGTACCCATCACGCTTATCGTTATTGCGCCACTTACTACAAGAGACAGTTTGGTTAGTACCCGTTAACAACGAAGGCCAAGAGTCAGTGTCAACATACTACCACCAATACTCATCGCCGGCTTGCTCTTCATACAGCAAATGCGCCTGGCCAGCTTGGATCTTCTCGACGTAGTCAGGATTGTACAACAAAGGTCGTCCGATAACCACCGCGTCCACACGCCCTACTTTAATCCACTCATCCGCCTCCGCAGGAGTAAATCCCGTGTTTCCGAAAAGTAAAGTATTCTTCAGGATTGGTCGAAGGTACGAGATGGCATCCCATTCTACTCCCCGTGACATCCCGTCAATCATCAGGTCATACGCCTTCCACCAGCGCATGACCTGAACATAAGCCAAACCCAGGGTATCGAGCTTCTCGCAGAAGGGTCCGTAGGTTGCTTTGGCTGCGTCTGCTGACGGTCTCCCCTGAGCATCCATCTCGCCCATGTCATTGTAGCCACCACATGGGGCAAGTTTTATGCCAATCCTATGGTAAGGGAAATACTCATTCACCCTCGCCAGAACGGCCAACGAGAACCGCATCCGCTTCTCAATAGAACCTCCCCATTCATCAGTCCGACGGTTACTATGCGACTCGAGAAATTGCATAGGAAGATATCCGTTCGCATTGTGGAGTTCCACTCCGTCAAATCCTGCCTCCCGAGCAAGCCGCGCAGCGTTCCCATAGAGATCGACAATCTCCCAAGGATTTTCAATTGGCGTTGGCTGGACGTACCCCGGGCCGCCGGGAACATTACGGAACTTTCCACCCCGAGCAGCTACTGCCGATGGACCAGGAACAGGCTTTGCGATCTCGCGTTGTACTCGAGTGCCCGGGTGAGCTACCCGACCGACATGATGTAACTGACAAAAGATTAGTCCTCCCTCTTGGTGCACGGCGGTAGTGACCTTTTCCCAGCCCTCGATGTGCTCATCCGAGTAGATCCCCGGCATGAAGGTCCACTCGACACCCTGTGGACAAATCAAGGCAGCCTCTGAGAGCTAAATAAATCGAAAATAGTCAGTACATGCAATTCGTTCATTTAAATTGTTACGTGCAAGAGATACAGGGAGGATGGGGACTAGCATACAATTAACCCCGTTCCTGCCCTTTCACGGTAATAGGGCACATGAAGATTCTCCCGCGGTACATTGTCCCGATTCCGGGTTAACGAGACCATGACCACACGGTTCTTCATACGAAGGCCTCCCAGATCCAAGGGTTTGAGCAGATGCTCGAACTTGCCGGTATCCGAGGCCATGGTGACTGGGATGTTTCTGTGTAGGTCGGTGTTGGATCGGTAGGCGGGTGACTTCGCAGTGCACGCTTAAGAAAACCCCAAGTGAATGGAGAGAAAAAGAGAATAAATAAAGGCAAATTAAAATGAGGAGAAATGGACCCACTGCATTGTCATACTACCCTGGTCGTATTACCAATCTGTCATCTATATCTGCTCTGTTATTCTTTCCCCAACGCCTTTTCTTCCCCAGCCCCACCAATTCCTTCTCCAACTACAGGAACAAGGCTTATGCTGAGGGGGTTGGACCTGCTCCTTAATTCTTAAAAGACCATAACCTTGATATTTATGCTTGCATGAGGCTTTTCTATCGACCCAACTTATACAGAGAAATAAAACCTCACAGCATGCTCCCTACAATCGAGTACGAGACCCTCCGCGACTTCAGCGGCTTGGACACTATCCGTCAATCCTGCGTATCGCGGAGCAATGGAATCCAAGTAGACAATTTACCCATTCCTGGCTTCGAAGCGTTGGGATCGCTAGAGTCACAACTACCAGTAATCCTCCCACTTGTCGTGTGCGTCCAAACAGAGACCGTGCCTAACACATTTTCTCTTGCTTCCGTTAGGAAGGCTCCTTGGTGAAGAATGATCTGCCCAAGTCTTCACCCGGCGTCACTGCAGTGATGGAAGCCTGCCACAAACTTTCACATGAAGTCTTCAAGAACCTCAGCCACGCCCTCGAACTGCCTTGGGAGAAATACCTAGGAGAGATGCATGAGTTCACGGCCCCTAGTATGGACAGTTTAAAGACCTTCAAGTCGAGAGAGCCAATTCGTAATGAATGGTCGACTTTGGTACGAAGTGCAGAGATCAATCCCAACTTCCTTTCTTTCAGATCAGCTAACATGTTGCGTTCCAGACGATCATTGTCAATACAGCATCTCTACAGTCAGCAACAGTGCTGTATGGTACCGCGCTCTCCGTCTTCGCTGAAGGTGCCACGGCGGTGGTCAACGGCGAGACAGTTGACACTAACCTGTTGTCACAAGGACAAGGTGTCGCGGATGGTAGTTGGCTGGTGTACTACGTGAGCCCTAACAATGATGTGTTCTATACCCGGACTGCTGGCGCTTTAATGAGTCCTCTCAGCTCCGATGAGTATGAACGTAGAATTCGTGTTCGGGATCTGTACCCATTGGCTTAGAAATTTGCGACGACGTGTCGTCCCTGGGGTAGATTTGCATGCATACAAATTAGCCATTTCCAATTGTCTCCAATGAAAGTATGTAAGCATCTCGGATCGATGAAGCAGGATCTACATAAACAGCGCCCTGCGCCATGGTTGCGCCATACGAACCGTGTCATGGGTTAGGGTGCAGATACAAATTATGGTCGGGCTAAAAATCTATCATGACATCTACCGAAATAGGCTTATTCAAAGTGTGCATTTAATCTGTCGAAATAGTACCATAAACTAGACCAGACGAATCTTGTTTACATACACTTCATAACATTTACAAACTCTCCAGCACTAAAACTCAATGCACACCTTACCGATATGCTGACCTCCGGTGAAATAGTCAAAAGCCCCCACAACTGAGTCACGTCCGAACTTAAAAGACTTCTCAACGGGCACAGGGAGATTGTGAACGCCGACAAAGCGCACAGCCTCCTCAAGCTGCTGCTTCGAACTGACCATAATTCCACGAACAACAGCACCCTTGCCCAGCGCCATAATCGCAACATCTGGCATCTTCTCCTGCGGTGCCGAAGACAGGAAACCGATAACGGAGATCACACCACCGTAAGAAATAGCCTCTATTGATTGCTTGATGGTTCCAGAGCCTCCATTCTCCAGGATAAAGTCAACGCCTTGGCCGCAAGTGATCTTCTGTGCTTCGGCGGCCCAGTTGGGTGTTTTCTTGTAGTTGATCGTGTGGTCGACTCCGTACTTTTCCTTGACATACTTGAGCTTCTCATCAGACGAGGATGTAATGATGGTGCGTGCACCAGCAGCTTTTGCCAGCACAAGGCCAGTGATGGATACACCACCCGTTCCTAGACAAGACAACTCGTCAATGCGCTTTCCGGGAGCAGGAAAAAGATAAAAGTCTCAGAGCTTACCTTGAAAGAGAACGGTCTGTCCCGGCTTAAGGGGAGCAACTCCATACAGCGAGTTCCAAGCAGTAGCACCGGTGCAAACCATACTGGCCCACTGCGAATAGCTGAGGGTGGATGTCTCCGGCACTTTCACAACAGCATGGGCAGGGACGGAGATGTACTCCCTCAAGACCCCATCAACAGGACCACCCAGACCGGTAGCCCAAGATTTGATGGGACCATACAGCGTCGCCGGGTCAAATGCAATGACAACCTTGTCGCCTTGCGAGAAACCTGAAACGCCCTCGCCAACTCCAACCACGTCGCCAGCTGCATCAGAGCCAGGGACGACTTGATCTTTAACTGCAAATGGATACTTTCCAGTAGAGATGGCGATGTCTCGGAAGTTCAGGGCAACACTCCGGATTTTGATCAAGACTTCATGCTTGCTAGCGGACGGAACGGATTCTTGATATTCAGCGAGCTTCTCCCAGGTGTCCCGGGCAGTCAATCTGAGGACAGTTTGGGTGCTCATGATGGGCGATGACAAAGGATGGGAAGGAATAATATAGATTGGAAGGGAGGATATAGGAAGAATACAGTAGAGAATCTTTAGTGGTAAGTCACAGCAAAGAAGAACGGTCTACGGGGGGTATTTATAGGAAAAAGGCCACATCTGTCAACATTCTTCCCCAATGGTGACGTCGTCAAAACTAATATCTCATTTACGGTAGAATACCTTTTCCACGTGGGGATGAAAAAGCCCCTTCTAAGATTTTTTTTTTAACCCCGAATGATGACAAATATAGGGCTGGGGTAAGTTAATTAATTGCATTAGAGAGTGATTTGTCTAGAAAAGACTGATCTTCTACGACTTAACGAGTACAAGGAAAATGCCTTTCGTTCTCACTTTTCTATTGTTCAGTGCTTCGGATCACCGTCGCTAATTGTTGATGTAGACCCTAATATGAGCCCAAGGATTTTTATGTAAGTTGATGCATCCTGCCGCCTTTTTCTTCTTGCACTTTGTACAATTCCCCACGTGAAACGAGGAAAAAATCATGACAGAGAACTGAGTATCATGCACCAGTACTGGCATCACCGGCCTTATCGGTGGCGACTATCTTCACCTCATCGCGCAGCGACATCATGACTGGCATATATCAGCTCTCGTCCGCGATGTCGAAAAGGCAAAGATTTTGCGTGAGCGCCATCCGTTCGTCGAGATCATTCTGGGTACACTCGATGACACAGAGGTCCTGGAGAGTGAGAGCAAACAGGCGGATGTTGTGCTAAGTCTGTCGTCTACACCCTTCTAATACGTTCGCTCCGCCCCGTGCTAACGCCTATTTGTACATAGACTTTGCCAACTGCGACCACTTACCCGCCGCAGAAGCCATTGTGAGAGGAGTATCCAGACGCACCCGACCAGGCTTCATCATCCACACCTCAGGCGCCAAGATCATTGCGTGGGAGATGGAGAGTCGGCCCCAGACATGGGGAGAGTTCATTCCACGGCGGTACGATGATTGGCAAGGGGTCCGAAGGCTTACTGCGATTTCTTTCAACACCAGCGATAACGACGACGTGCTGCCGGACTGGGCCGCCCACCGAGATGTCGATCTGGCCATTCTCCGAGGACACCATCTGTATCCCGGAATCGTGCGCACTGCTATCGTTTGCCCTCCTACTGTCTATGGACCGTCTCGGTTTCCTCTCTTTACGCGCTCGATTCAACTTCCCCGCATGTTAAATGTATTCCTTCGACGCGGTCGGGCTTTTACAATCAAGGGAAACCAGAACAAGTGGAATATGATTCATACTCAAGACATTTCGGAGATGTATGTACTGCTTACCGAAGCGGCCGTGAATCAACACCCTGGTGAGCTGTGGGATAATGACGGGTACTATTTTGCTGAGCAAGGGGAATTTGTCTGGGGAGAAATGATCAGGGAGATCGCCCACCTTGGCTTCAACAAGGGTTACTTTGATTCCCCGGAGCCAGACGAGTTGACCAACCAAGCGGTTAGCAGGTTTTGGTATGGTGGGCAGATGAACATCAGCTCGACCAGTCTGGGCTCTGCACAAAGAGCGTCCAAGATTTTGGGATGGAAGCCTCAAGCTCGAACGATCTTCGAAGACCTGGAACGAGCCTTAGACGTTGAAGCTGGGCTTCTGGGCATTACCATGGCTGCAGACCGGTCTCAATCCTAATGATCTCTCAGTCAATGTACTATTGAATTCTATATCAAGATAAAAAGACACATTATAACAAGTATGGGAGGCTAGTGCGATTTTTGTCTTGCTAATGTATACACTGTAGCTTAAACTGTAGTTCATTATCTCTACGCGCGGGAAAAAACGTTTAAGAACGAGACAGTTCAGATTCTAGGAGGTCAGCAATGACCGATAAAGACATGCCAACTCGATGCTCGAAATGGAATACATGTATTCCATTGGAGATATCCGCCCATAACCGGGCCGTAGCAACTGCAAGTCGGCGAATCTGCATAGAGGGATCCTCGGTGGAATCGACCACTTCTAGATTGGTTTCTCCCACGAGGTTGCGCGTCATACCAAGCAATTTCTGCTCATCATCGCGTAATGCCGCCATGCCGTCGATGCGGACAGCCTCTGCTGCTTCCTGCATCCATCTTGTAAGAAGAAAGGCACACTCCAGGTAGCAGATCGCGTGTTCGGTACTCCAGTGGAGGGTCTGCGTACGTGCCACGTATGGTATACCGATGCGAATAGGGATACTCAGGGCATGGATACACTGCAGGATGGCTCGGTCCAAGGAGGGTGAGCGAGCGAGGGGGCATAGCTGCGTGTTGGTGCACACTTGTCGAATGCGCTCGGGGTCGCCGGAGGTGAGATCACGACACGCTCCTAGGTTGGCGTTAAGTCGAATGTGCGCCAGGCGAAGCAAGGCCGTTGCACTGAACCCCAAGGGGCCTTTTGGAGAAGAAGGATTTAGTGTTGATTCCGTCGTCGCTTCCCAGGACCACTGCCAAGCCCGCAAGGCCTTTTCTGTCGATTTGAGTGACATCGACCATGTTTGAGAGCGCTCTTGCACATGAAAGCCTGCCGCTTGACGATCAATAAATATTTTCTGCACGATCCCATGAATGAGGACATAGTTCGAGAATCCTGACACAGCTCCTTTGTCGGAAATACTTTGTCCCATGAGGAGTTGGTCGAGGGTGGTGGTAAAGGAACGCTCGCGCAGGGCAGACTGTGCGCGGTGCCGCTGCCAGGTAGTAGATGAAGGAGCATTCCATTCTGCTTCACATGATGGTAAACAAATCGCGACCTCCTGGCTTAATATCATGGGCGGGATGTTAAATGTGATGCTCTGGAGATTGAAGAAGATGTAGGCCACCAGTAGAGTACGCCGTCGCTCTTCGTGAGCGATCCAAGCTGACCACTCCATCTCCTGACCAATAATGTTGTCATCCTGGTGTATTCCCAGGCACCGTACGAAGATGGCAACCTGGCTGCTCATGGCAAGACTTTCCCGTACCAACGGCTCTTCGCACCATGCTGTCATAGCCATGAGGATAATCATGGCTTGTACCTGTTGTAGAGTCGGATACGGAGCTTCTGATACCGCAGCACTCGCAGTGACATGTTGAGGGGTGCGAGCATAATAGGATGAATGCGCCGCGGGTCTTACCGTGTCAGTTTCTGCGAGCGCAGTCAATTGTGCGATTGTTTGTTGACGGTGGCTTTTCATGCGTTTGTCAATCAGGGACCGGCAGGCTCCGTACATCTGATAGGCCCTTGCTTTTTCGAAGCGATACAACGCACCGAGGGCGGCCAGCGCAAAAAGGAGTTCCAAACCGATTTTTTCCGGGTCAAAGCTTGGTAAATGAAGGAAGGGCAAATGATGATGAAATCCACGGAAATAACCTTCAAGATAGCGCGCAAGGGTATGCCTGGAAGGAAGCGAGAACTCTGTCGAGGTAGATAAAACGGATTTGCTCTGGAACAACTTGTTGGAAATCGCCTGGTAGGCTGAAGCAGACACTGCCCATGGTTTTTCGGCTGTTTCGTCTGCCAAGTCGGAGTGACTGGTGTTCTGTTGGTCATCAATAGACGGGATTCTGGGAGGAGGCGATGCGGCTGAGTTCAAATCCTGGCCCGGGTGTATCGTCGGAGAGTGTGGTTGAGCTTGGGGAGTCTGCGATTCAGCGAGCGCTGTTGGGCATTCTGGTCCCATGAAGTTCAGATGGGCCGGAAGGGAGCTTTGATGAAGAAGTTCAGATAGTGAAATGTCTGTATCCAAGAATTGAGAAGGGACGAAGTCAGGAAAGGCCAATGAGCTATTCTCATCAAGCAGGTCAATCCCATTCAATCCGTCACCATTTGGTTGCATAAAGCCCAGATTAGAAAAATCCCCAGTGGAAGAGCCAAACATGAAGGGATTCACGGGTACTGCAGGGTCTGATTGTGTTGAACTACCCGTATCCGGAGCCGAGCCGGTAGTTTCCATGACACTGTTGTCCCCCAAAACTTGAGGCGGTGGATCTGCCAGCAGATTGGTTCCATCTTGGCCATGAGGATTAGTCGTGGATGATGAAGGCTGACAGTGAGCAACCTCCGTTGCGCCTGTGGACGCATGAGAAAGCCGTTCATGGCGGCTGAAAAGGTCCCTACGTATCTTCCACTGAGCTTGTGAACCAATTGAAAGAGGAATTGGAGCTTTGCTTACTGCCGGGAGAATGAGCGACCACATTGGCAAACAAATGGTTTCTCCTGTGTATCTAGTTATAGTAGGCAAATTAGTAAATCCTCTCCCCTTCCTCTATGGATTGGGGTAAAAAGTACGGACGTGTACGCTCATGTCTCTGCAAATGCTCCAGCCGCTTAAATTGTTTATTACAAAAACGGCATGGGGCGATGTAACTTTTTGGTCTCCCACGCGCCATCTGCAAAGATATTCTGTATGCATAAAGTTGCACGATGGAGGAAGAACGGTGTGGTTGGGATTTTCTTCTCCAAGGGCGAAGGCGAAGGTGCTTACATCAGCGGTGACGTTGGGGGAGGCAAGGTGCCCTAGTTGATACTACACGACTAACGAGATTCCTTAACTGCCCACGGGGTGCAATTTATTCTTAATTTTGCTGCGATCTCGCGGCATCCATGCATGAAGAGGGACATATTGATAAAAAATATTCAATGTCGACAATATTTTCAACTCGCAAGTGAATAAAAACCGATTCAACACTTAAACACAACATCTTCATGAGCTCTTGATATTTGCTTCAGTCACAGCTTCAAGACGAGCACCCAGTTGCGGATCGACGCGTCCGAATAGGTCTAACTCCAGTTAGCATATATTATTGTTAAAACTTAAAAATGCCGGTTTTAACAACCTAAATTACCGACAGACCCCCGCACCAAACTGCCACTTCAATATCATGAGTTTTTGTCAGTATTTGATCGAAATGAAGCCGAAAATCAACCACCGCATCGAGGACCGAACATTTATCATAAGGTTGAATTGAACAAAAATGCTGATGGCACGACCCCAGAACCACCATGGGGCCCCCTTTATAACATGTCAAGGGATGAGTTGCTTGTCCTACGAAAGACTTTGACGGAGTTGTTGGAAAAGGACTTCATCAGAGTTAGCAAGTCACCCGCTGCAGCACCAGTGTTGCTAGTCAAAAAGTCTGATGGGGGCCTCCGGTTCTGTGTTGATTATCGTGCGTTGAATGCAATCACAAAAAAGGACCGTCACCCCCTACCCTTGATCAATGAAACATTGGAGCGAATTGGGAGAGCAAAATGGCTCACAAAGCTTGATGTCATTGCTGCATTCCACAAGATTCGTGTGGCCTTGGGAGACGAATGGTTGCCGGCCTTCCGAACTCGGTTTGGACCCTTTTAATGGCTAGTGACACCATTTGGACTGGCTAATGCGCCTAGCACCTTTCAGCGCTATATTAATTGGGTCTTACAAGATTTTCTGGATGAATTTGCCTCTGCTTACCTCGATGACATCTTGATCTTTACTGATGGAACACTATCTGAACATGTACGCAAGGTACTGGGCCGCCTTCAAGGCGCTGGCTTACAAATTGATGTTGACAAGTGTGAATTTGAAGTGAAGTCAACAAAGTACTTAGGATTCAGGTCATTCTTAGGTTTTGCAAACTTCTACCGACGATTCATAAGGAATTACTCGGAATTAACAATTCCCTTGACGGCCCCGACACAGAAGGACAAGGACTTCGTATGGGACAGCAAGTGCGATGAGAGTTTCCAACAATTGAAACGAATGTTTATAATGGCACCAATTCTCATGCAATTCGACCCAGATCGTGAGATCATCGTTGAGGCTGACTCTTCAGGGTGGGCCACTGGAGGAATATTATCACAGTATGATGAAGATGGTGTTTTACGACCCTGCGCTTATTTCTCACGGAAAAACACACCCGCAGAATGCAACTACCAGATACATGACAAGGAACTGTTAGCTATCATCAACGCGCTAAAGGAGTGGGAGTCAGAGCTTATATCTGTCATCAATTTCCAAATACTGACAGACCATCGCAACCTCCGTTATTTCACCACAATGAAGCGCTTGAACGAACGACAGATGAGATGGGAAGACATATTGAGCCGCTACAACTTCACATTGCACTATCGCCCTGGGAAGTTAGCTGAACGACCAGATGCACTATCCCGAAGAGAACAGGATGTTCCTGCACTGGGAGATGAAAGACTGAAATTACGGGAACAGCGACTATTTGACCGAGTAGTACTAGCGTCGATTCAAACAGAAGATGATGGAATGGTCGACCAGAATCCACATGATCCAATGTCAGATGAACTGCAGAATATGAGCCTTGAAGAGCACTGGACACAGACGGTCAGACCGAGAGAATGAATGCGACAATCGAACTATTTTTACGGTCCTTCTGCAACCACAGTCAATCAAACTGGGCTTTTCTACTGCCGATGGCGCAGCTCGCAATATGTAGCTGGGACGCCACCTCTACAGGCGTTAGTCCCTTCTTCCTGGATCATGGCTGCAATGTTGAGACTTTGCATCAATCGAGAATCATTTATGATTCTCGATTGAAGCTATTCAGAGAAGTTTGAAGCGGGGTCTCTTGGATCGTAGCTCAGAGGGGAAATCGGGAGTCGATTATTCCGGACTAACGAGGTCTATATGGAGAGGACTAGCTGGACGAAAGAGGTATATTGCCTAACGAACGTATGTGCGTGTACGCAGCTGATTGAGTGCTTAACTATCTATCCGTGCGCACACGTTGGCCTATATCGTCAACTGGTTAGGAATGAAACCCCAAAATGGCAACTAACGCCGACCGGACGAACTTAATCCCGTAATTTTTCCAGGCCGCTTTTGTTACTTACTCACCTCGCCTCAGGAGGCTTTTTTTCCCCCCATCTCTGGCGCTCCGATTCTCTCCCCCCCATAGTGGCTTCTATTACCCCAGCTCCTACTCTTCGCCTCAGGCACCTGATCTGCAATAACCTACGTCTTGTGGTCTCGTGTGTGCCATCCAGAATGGCTTCTACACAGGCCGAGCCCTCGGCGAAGCCTATGAGCGAGAAGCAACGACTGAAGCTTGAGAAATTCGCCAAGAAGAAAGAGAAGCAAGAACAGGAAGCGCTACTGAAACCGCAACAAGCCGTCGGCTCATCCCGGGAGAAGAAATCCAAGGAGCAGAATGCTCCCGCGGTCGAGTTGAAAGATTGGGTCGAGGAGACACCGGCTGGACATCGAAAGATATTGAAGTCATTGGATGACGACTTCCACAAAGCTTACTTACCCAAGGTTGTGGAATCTGCCTGGTATAGCTACTGGGAGAAGCAGGGAATGTTCAAGCCACGAACAGAGGAGGATGGCAGTCTCAAGCCGAAAGGCAAATATGTCATTGCTATCCCGCCACCCAATGTACGCAATAGTCTATCGAAGGCGCGGCCATTTACTAACGTCGAATCGTAGGTGACTGGCAAATTACATATCGGACACGCTCTAGCACTCTCGTTGGAAGACACCCTGATCAGGTGGCATCGTATGCGACAGTTCTCAACGCTCTACATCCCTGGCTGCGATCATGCAGGCATTGCTACCCAGGCTGTTGTCGAGAAGCAGCTCGCCAAAACCCCGAAAAATGGCAAGTCTAAACGGCAAGATTTTACTCGGGCTGAATTCGTACAACTATGCCAGGACTGGAAAGAGGATTACCATGAAGCAATCAACAATACGGTACGCAAACTCGGCGTCTCTGTAGACTGGTCGCGGGAAGCCTTCACTATGAGTCCGGAGTTGTCCAAAGCGGTCACTGAGACCTTCATCCAACTACACTCAGAAGGTCTCATCTACCGAGCCAACAGGCTTGTGCATTGGTCGTGTCGTCTCTCCACTGCTTTATCCTCACTTGAAGTCAACCAGAAAGAGCTCGAGGGGACGACAAAGTTGGACGTGCCGGGCTATGATAGAAAGATTGAATTTGGAACTCTCACGTATTTCAAATACCAAATCGAGGGCTCTGATAAGACAATTGAAGTTGCAACCACACGACCAGAGACGATGCTGGGCGATACTGGCATTGCGGTCCATCCTCAGGACGATCGATACAAGGATTTTGTCGGCAAGACTGCGCAACATCCGATCATCCCTGGTAGAAAGTTGAGGATCGTCGCCGACGAATATGTTGACAAAGAGTTTGGTACTGGCGCAGTTAAGCTAACTCCTGCTCATGATCATAATGATTTTAACCTGGGCAAGAAACATGGCCTGCCATTCATCAACATTCTCAACGAGGACGGCACTTTCAATAGCAACGCGGGTCCTTATGCCGGAGAGAAGAGGTTCAATGCAAGATACGGTGTCATCGAAGAACTTAAGAAACTCGGTCTCTATACGAGACAAGAGTCGAACAAGATGGTTGTTCCCATATGTAGCCGATCAGGGGATATTGTGGAGCCGCTTCTAAAACCCCAATGGTGGATGAGAATGGAGTCTTTGACGAAACCTGCCATAGATGTTGTTGAAAGTGGCGAGCTCGTCATTCGACCAGAGGTACAGAAGCGACAATACTTGCAATGGATGCGGAATCTCCAGGACTGGTGCCTGTCGAGACAACTGTGGTGGGGCCATCAGATACCAGCGTATTTCGTCAGCATTGTGGGTGAAAACAGTGGAGATGATGCTGATGACAACTACTGGGTATGTGGCAGAACAGAAAGTGAGGCTCGGGAAAAGGCAGAACAAAAATTCCCGGGCAAGAAAGTGACACTCAAGCGAGACAAGGACGTCTTGGATACCTGGTTCAGCTCTGGACTTTGGCCGTTCAGTACCCTCGGGTGGCCAGACAAAACGGCAGATCTCGAAAAGTACTTTCCTACCACGACCCTGGAGACAGGCTGGGATATTATACCATTCTGGGTCAGCCGTATGATCATGTTCTCTCTCAAATTGACTGGAAAGGTACCCTTTACGGAGGTCTTTTGCCACGGGTTGATTCGCGATAGCGAGGGCCGGAAAATGTCGAAATCACTGGGCAATGTTATTGACCCGATCGACATTATTGACGGGATCAGCCTCGATGGTCTGCATCAAAAGCTGCTGCAAGGCAACCTAGTCCAAAGCGAGGTCAAGACTGCCGAAAAGTACCAGAAGAAGAATTTCCCCCAAGGCATTCCTGAGATCGGGGCCGACGCCTTGCGGTTCTCGCTCATAAATTACACTCAGTCCTCTGGCAGTGACATCAACTTCGATATAAAGACTATGCACGGCTACCGAAAATTCTGCAACAAGATTTATCAGGCTACGAAGTATGTCCTTAGCAAGCTTGGTGATGATTTTGTTCCTCGCGAGTGTAGTGCTTTGACAGGAAAGGAGAGTCTGCCAGAGAGATGGATCTTGATGAAGATGAATGCGGCCATGAAAGAGATAAACCAGGCACTCGAGGAGCGTGAATTCGCAAAGTCAACCCAGATCAGCTACCGGTACTTGTACGATGAGCTGTTTGATGTCTACATCGAGAACTCAAAGTCAATCATCTCAGATGGCACTCCCGAAGAAGCTCGTTCTGCCAAGGACACGCTCTATACCGCAATCGAATCTGGTTTGCGAATGGTGGCTCCGTTCATGCCCTTCTTGACCGAAGAGCTTTGGCAACGGCTTCCACGCCGACCGGGCGACAACACGTCCTCGATCACAACCGCCAATTATCCAGAATATGAATCGTCCTTCCATGACCCGAGATCTGAGGTGGCCTATGAGCTTATACTGGGCTGCTCGAAAGGCATTCGTTCCCTCTTATCTGACTATGCTGTTAAGGATAAAGGCCTGGCTTACATCTCGCCCCTTAACCAATTGTCACATGACGTTATATCAGTGCAGCTCTCCACAATCCAGTCCCTTAGTGGCAAGATACCAGTGGATATCAATATCCTCAATGTTGGAGAAATCAGCCCTACTGGCTGTGCCGTTTTCCCTGTTTCCGCTGATGCGAATGTCTTTCTTGAAGTCAAGGACCGCATACAAGATGCTAGAAAAGAGGCTGAAAAGTTCAAAGCGAAGTTGACTGAGGCGAGAAGGGACCAAGAAGATATTGACTCGATCACAGCAGAGCTGAGCAAGGTACAGGACAAGGTTGTGGCTGAGGCTATGCAATCAGCCGAGCGCCGGAAGCGGGATGTCGGCGCCACCTTGCGGGCATTGGAAGAGACCGTCACGATGTTTGAGAAGATGATAATCTAGGTTGAGCGACCCCTGCCGGGCCCACAGTGTATGGCTGGAACCTAACAGGTCCGCTGGAGCAAGCGTTCCCCTGAACTCCTCTGCGGTCTTGCGGGAAAATACCGGCCGGACAATTCACTCCGTTGCGGCTCCTTGGCGCGGTGTGTTCAACACATAGGTTTTGGTTAGATAGAAAAATTTACTCTTTTCGGATATCGCTTAGTGCAGTTGTCATGCTATTTTCCGTATCATACGACTACGCAATATGTATCCTTCTATCGCACATAGATAGACTATTAGAGAGAAATGTTGTGGTTCGAAGCAGGATTGATTGTTCTAAGTTTCTTCCCTACTCGCTCCCCCCCCCCCCCCCCCCCCCCCCCCCCCCCCAAGTGCTAGCTATTAATCGAAAATCGGTGATCACTAGGCAAGTCCTACTGAAGGGTGAGTGAAGGATGATGGGAGTGGCGTTGGGGGGTGCTTCCAAGGTTGAATTCTCTAAAACGGGGAGAAAGAAGCCCGAGGATCGTAGTCTCGGTTGAGCACGGCTATTGAATACATTTTGGAATCAGGGCGGAGCTGTGGGTGATGGGAATCCTTCACAAGGTCCGGTTATCCCGAATCTTCCTCAATTTTCTCATGAGTCCCATTCTAAACCCAAATTGATCCTAAAACTGCCTTCCTCAACCTGCAGCGTCAGTTCATAACTTCAAGAGTCGGGCGGCATCTCTGATTCTGGCGCGGATGATATCCATCCACTCCTTGACGTGGGTCAGCATGAATGTCAGAGACTGGAAGCGAAATGAGGGGATTATCTACCTGAGCTTCGTTCAAGTCTCCAGACTCAAGACTGTGGAAGAGGCGAGGGAACTCCGGCGGATCTGAATAGAAAGCGGAAAATTCATAGACTAGGTGCGCGCCCTTATAGCAAAATTGGCGTTCAAGTTGTAAGTACTTTTGATTCACGTCCCGAATTGATATATCGGTCTCTGTTGATCCGAGGGAGGACGCATAAGCATCCAAAATCATGCTTGCATTGTGAAATTCTGCAATAGCATCCTCCAAGGGCACAAGATCAAATGATACAGCGCTTGGGATAGATTCTCTGATCCTTTCGACATACTATTGCATCGCGACAGAGTAGTCCGCCGCCTTGATTTGCAGGACAGGACTTTCAGACAAGTATACTGCTAGCAGAGACCAGATCTTTGCAGTTGTGACGTGGTACTTCCATCCTGGATCTCCAGTGGTATTCATCCAAGTGAAGGTATTAAAGTTAGAGTGGTAGGGCCAATAAGTAGCCCCGAAGCTGAGATCAGAGGTTGACACACAAGCAGTCTCGAGGAATGGGATGGCATCTCCTCCTCCTGCCGCAACCATCTTTCCGCCCCAGTGATCAAAGACTGTTCCACCTTCGGGGGAAGTGACTGCTTTTGTGGCTCTGTGGATAACTTGTTGCAGAAGTGGGGTTGCTTTGACTTGAAACTGGCGGTCTGCTGCTGCAACGACCACGTTTAGATATGCCACGGTAGTCTTCTGGAGCCAGGGGAGATGAGAGGTTATCCAAGGCTCAGACCCAACCTGTCCTGTTTCTGCGCCTTCCCAACTCACAAAGACGATAGTCCGCCGAGGCCGCCATCCATTTCTGTATGCTGTTGCAAAGCCTCGGACGACTTCCATCAATGCTGCAGCACCACTGACAGAGTCGCCGGCACCGGGTCCCCACGAGTCACGGTGATTTCCTAGAATGATGACTTCATCCTCAATGGAACCTTTCATAATGCCAAATGCTTGGTGCACGACCTTGGTCGGAAAGCTCATCTGGTTGTTCAGATTCAAGACGATATGGGATGGCGATGGGCCGACAAAATACTCTATTCCTCTGTAGTACAGGCCACCCCCATGCCAATCACTCTTCATGTCAGCAGCTTTCGGGCCATGTCCATGGAGTACTTTGAGTAGTGGTAGTATGTCGCTATAGGAGACCGGAAGCGAGGGAATAGACTGCCCTGGCACACTGGGGTTACCGACACTGACGTTGTCTGATCGTACCAAGTCATTATTATAACTTGATACGCTACCCACCTCCGCCAAATGTACACAGCCGTCCTATGGCCGCAGATCACATTTGCCAGTTCCACATGGTTCGTACGGGCTGGATGGGGCTTCAAGGCGGCAGAAAATGCGGCTAAGAAAGCCATGGAATCTATCCAGCACAAGGCCCTCTACAGGATAGCTGGCGCATTCAGAACAACCTCTCGAGCTGCTCTGGAGATATGCCTCAACATACCTCCTCCAATGATCGCATTGGAACGTGCGGCCAAAGAATCATACCTCCGAATTGCCACATCACCCCTTATGGCCACCCTCAGCAAGATACGACATTCCGGCCAACGACCAGCGCCAAGGAACGCAAGGGAGCGACGCATGCGATGGGCCACCAGCCCAGACCATGATCCTTTAACATCACCATTAGAACGATGGGAGCGACGAACCGCAATTTCTCAGGACAAGCTGGAGATTATACACCCACATGTGACCCCGCCTTGGTGGGCAGGCCTGAAACCCCATATAGCAGAAACTCGGGAAGCTGCTCTCGCAACTCACAATGCCATCTTACACAGCAGAGCTGATATCATTGTGTACACAGATGGCAGCTTGACAGAACAGGGAGTTGGAGCAGCAGTAGTTTCGCCTCTGGGGCGCCAAGCAGTTCGCATTGGCTCTCAAGCTACCCACACTGTATATGCAGCAGAATTACAGGGCATAAAGATGGCGCTTACCCAAATACGCAACCCAAGTGGACTGGAATCACAATGTTCCTATCAGACCCGTACAGCAACCATCTTCACAGACAACCAGGCAGCAATACA